TAGATGTTTCGACGGGAATTTCGAAAATGATTCCCAGAGGCACCAAATTTCTATTATCATTTTTAGCAATGAGATAAAGTTTACGTTTATTATTACGTATATACTGTAAGAAAGATACTTCCTACCTAACTAAAAAAGTCACGTTCTACAAGTTAAAGGAAAATTTAAGAGTTGTCTATAAAATGTTTAATTGAAATCGCTTTCTCACACAGAAGCTCCACTTTTAATATATGCATTTTTTTAGTGCATTCCACGCACTTACATTCCTTGCTGCCACAAGCCCATCAGAGAAACTTTAAATTGTTTCAACTCACTTACTAATCAATTCCGGGACAAAGAGTATCCACCGATTGCAGAAGCTGGCTCGCAGGCAGGAAGGCAGAATGCCAGCTGCAGTGGGTCAGGGAGCACAGACAGAACATACAGGATCTAGTAGCCAAAGGAATGCCTTCATTGCAACACTTTGGACCGCCGTTAATCCAATTATGGTCTGGTCTGGTCCGGGGTTCTACAGTTCCAAAACCTTTGCCCCTGCTCCTGACCCTGCCACACTCGGTAAAATGTACGTGTACGTGGATAAGGATTGCCTGCTGCTTTCCTGGTTCCATGATTTCTTTCTATGGGTTTAAGACAGCGCTGGGGTAGTTTTAGGGTAGTGCCGCCGCGTAACACCTTAGGCAACCTCGTAATCCTTATTTCGCACGGAATGAAGATTCACACTTAAATGTGTAAAAGGGTCAACACCTGCAGGAGCGACGTGGTCGGAGCAGTCGTAATCCTTATTGGCAGGAGGAAGGAGATGGAAAAAAAGTACCCCTGGGTTACATGTGGATGAAATTTTCAGTGAGCAAACCGCGACCGATACCATAACCATATCCATAACCACAAACATTTTCCATTAACTTGAAACACAAAGGGTTAATATTTCTAGAATTTTTTGGTTATATTTATTTCATATTCAGTTTTTTCATTCAGTATTCGATATTTATTTGCTGTATCGAGTTTTTACTACTTTAATTTGCATTCTCCTGTTTTTTTTTACTTTTGTTTTTTGTTTTTTGTATTTTATAGCTGCTGCAGATTATTTGTAAGCATAAAAAAATAACGAAAAATTGAATGAATAAACATAATGAAAATTCCATTCCATTTGCTATATGGTACCCGTATGTATTATGTATGTATGTACAATATTTTTTTATAGAAACTAATGTCTTTTATTGTTTTAATTTTTTGAAAGAAATTTCAGCTTAAAAAAATAATTCATTACCAGCAGCTTTTTGTGTGTGGGTCTGTGCCTCTCGGTGTCTGTGTTTTCTGGCCGTATTTTAATTACCACTCAATAATGTATTTATTTAATATCATTAATATTATTATTATTATTATACTTGTGCATTTTGCATCATCGTCGTGTAAACAACTACAATTAGTATCACGATTGTCATTGGGTAACCAAAGTGAAAAAAACGAGGGGAATACACGCTCGAAATAAATGCTACGTAAAAAATGAAACGCATAAAAACGTCGGTAAAACCCTCCATAATAAACCTCTACCTTTGGGTTGTCTTCTCTCTGTTTTACTCTTTATACCCGGTACTCGAAGAGTGAATAGGGTATGTTTTTGTGGTGAAGAAAATGGAATTGTATGTGTATGTATGGATGTATGTAACGGACAGAAGGAAACCTTTCCGACCCCACAAAGTATATATATATATATTCTCAATCAGCATCAATAGCCGAGTCTATATCTGACTGTCTGACTATATGTCCGTCTGTCTGTCCGTCCGTCTTGTTTGACGCCTTGTTTTCAGAGACTATAAGAGCTGGAGTCACCAAAGTTTGTGTGAAAACTTGTGTAATATCACACTGAATCAAGTTTGTTTCAAAAGCTAAAGAGTGTGAGATGAAGAAAATATTTAAAATTTGAAAAAAACCGCTAGGGTACAAAAACCGCTAAGGTAGTACTGAGTACCGGGTAAAAAAGTTGTGACGCGTAAGATGCGTCTCACACGTCCCTTCTCGTTTATCTTGTTTTTTATTTCGCATCGCTTTGAATTGTTTGGGAGTTAGTGGTGTGTCTCGTGGTGTCTGTTTCTGTGTGCGACACGATTATGCATTTCACTATTTTTTTGATAACTATTCAATTTTAATATATCCTTACTCTTTTGTTTATCCTTTGCCCAAAAATGATATGTACTTATATATATATATATATATATGTATGTATGTATGATGTCTGAATCGTTGAGTTTTTGTGTTTGTTAAAAATTGCCGGCCCGCAAAAAGTAGGCAAAAACTTGTTGTTCTAGTTCTGCTGTTAGTTCTGTGCAATGTTCTCTACGGTAGGTTTTAAAAAACAATTATTAATCGCTATCCAATAATTGCCCATATGTATCGCAATAGATATATGTTTGCCTCAATTCATATACATATATTATGTATATACTAGTATTAATGTACTTATTGGCCTTGACTACATAAATTGTACATTATATGCAACTAGTTTTAACTAGTATTCGTTTTGTTTTTTTTGTTCCTTAAAAATAGTGTTTTTTAAACTATTATTAACAACTTATGGCTCTAGTTCGGATCAATGTAAATGCAAAAGTGTTGATTAATTATTCTATAGATGTGTGTGTTCTGTGTGTAGGAATCATCATATATTCGCTGGTGTGTGTGTGTAATCAACTGCATTAATTACCATTAATGTTGGCCAAGACACAGTCGTCGTGCACTGGGCGGGGAGATATTCTCGCAGGAGGATACATTTTATTTTTTTTTGTGATAACACTACTCGACACGATTTTGTCGCTTCGATCCAGACCAACTTTTTATAAAACATATGGGGCTTAGAAAGGGTTTGATAATAATTTGTTATACCCGGTACTTGAAGAGTAAATAGGGTATATTGTGTTTGTGGGGAATAACGGTTGTATGTAACGCACAGCCGGAACCCGAGCCCATAAAGTATATATATTCTTGATCAGCATCAAGCCTAGCCTATGTCTGTGTGCCTGTCTGTCCGTCCGTCTTGTTGAGCGCATGGATCTCAGAGACCATAAAAGCTAGAGCCACCAAATTTTGCATCCAGACTTCTGTATGCTCACACTGTTACAAGAGTATATAAAAAATGAGCCCCGACTACTTCCGCCCCCGTAAAAGGGCGAAAACCTCCCAAACCTAAAATTTTGAAGATAAAACAAAACGCCATTCCGTAGGGAAGGACCCTTTCTATCAGATCACCAAATTGGAATCCGATTGTACCATTATAATAGCCAGAATGTAGAAATTAATTTGCAGTGGCTAAACCCACCCCGTCCGGCAGCTTATATTTGTTTTTTTTCACATTCTCTCATTCACACTCTGCTTTGTGCAGGGTGCGGCCTCTGCCTCTGCCGTTTCTTTGCCTCTGCCTCTGCCGTGGCTAAACCCAACCCGTTCCGAAGCTTATATTGGTTTTTTTTTGTATTCTCTCATTCACACTATGCTTCTGCATAGTTCAGCCTTTGCCTCTGCCGAGTCTGTGCCTCTGCCATGACTCTGCAGTGTGTGGCTCTTGGGAAGAGGGGCGAGCTTAAGGAGCGTGTTGGCGTGAGAAGTGTTGTAGATGTAGATGACAGATGAAGAAAAAAATTAAAATTTGAACAAAAACTGCTAAGGTACAGACGTAGTACTGAGTGCCGGGTATTGAAGTTATGACTCGTAAGAAGCGTTTCACACGTCCCTTCTCGTTTTTTTTCCATGGCTGAACTTTATTTTTGTATACCCGGTACTCGAAGAGTAAATAGGGTATATTGTATTTGTGGGGAATATAGGTTGTATGTAAAGCACAGAAGGAAACGCTTCCGACCCCATAAAGTATATATATTCTTGATCAGCATCAATAGACGAGTCGAAAGAGCCATGTCTGTCTGTCCGTCCGTCCGTCTGTTTATCTTGTTTGTCGGCTAGTTCTCAGAGACTATAAGAGCTAGAGCCACCAAATATTGCTTCCAGACTTCTATATGCTCACACTGAAAGCAGAGTATTTAAAAAGTGAGCCACGCCCCCTTCCGTCCCCGCAAAAGGGCGAAAACCCCAAAATCTACAATTTTGAAGATAAAAGAAAACTAAAAACGCTTACAGTTTGATAAATACTAAGCTTTCAAATGCAAGAATGTTGATTTTTTGAGACATTTTTTATGAAATTTTGATTGTAAAAACTCAGGAAAAGTCGAAAAAAAAAATTAAATCATGCGTCAACTCTTATTTTATGTACAGGTGCAATAATTTGTATTGCTCAAAATCTATGGAGATACGGATGAGCTAACATTGTTCAACCAACCCAAAAAATCTGTATTTTTCCGTTAAATTAAGTTTTATTTCAGTATTTTTCGAGTCTTTAGCCAGAAATACTCTGGAAGTTGGGCGCGTCTCCACTGGTACTATTCTTGGATTTTTTCATTTTTTTATGGTTGGTTGAACACTTTTAGCTCAGGCATCTCTTCATAAATTTTAATGAGCAGTACCTTAGACGACGCCCAATTAATGCACCTGTACAAAAAAAAAAGCGGATACAGGATTTCTATGCTTCATATTTTTCACACGGTAAGCTAAAACCACAAAGTGGTTAATAGATGTATTTATCAGCTTTAGAGAATCTCTAAGTACATTACAACCAGACGTAAGGTACTTGAGTTGTGTGAAAAAAGGAAGCAATACCTCTAAAAAAGCGTTAAAAAAAATAGCATTAAAAAGAGATTAAAATCCAGCTGTGTTTTGTAAACATGTGTACTACAGTGGAAGTTTGAAATTTAAAGGCGGGTATCCAGCACCGCGAAAAAAACCATTTCTAATCCCCATGTCTTACAAAAAAAGTTGTTCTGGATCGAAGCGGCAAAAATACATATTCGAGTGGACATGCACCGATTTGCTTGTCTTTCAATTATTTAGTATCGTTATTATCCGTATGTTTATTGTTAAATCCCAAAAATTCGTAGCTACCGAATAGAGTTAGTGTTTTTTTAGAATATATATTTAATATCTACATATCATACAATCAATGGTTAGTTCAGTTACTTCAGAGTTACAGTTACTTCTACCACACAACTTACTTGGCCGCCAACTAAAGCCAACATCAAAGGATCATCGTCGTCATGATGGGCAGCAGAAGGGCCATGGCGAAGGATAGCAGAAACAGTCGCTGGCCGGAGCTACTCAAAGCACTCGCCTGGCACAGCAGATCCTCGGGAAAGATCTCCAGGATTGGCAGATGAAGACCCGATGTAGGGTCATGGCACGTGTTGGAACGGGCGCGCTAAAGGCAAGAGAGGTTATAATGCTATTGAAGTTGAGAAACAGAATATTCCATAGAAATGTGAATGTATAACAAAAGTTTTTTTGATCTAAGAAATGGTTTGTATATTTTTGCAAAGGGATTACAGAACTCCACTTTGCAAAGATATTTTGCACGCAATAGACGCATGAGTATTCCAAAAAAGACATATGCAAAAGCTTACGCGCATATCGGCCGTCGATAGGGGTAACTTTGTCCCAATAACAAAATCAAGATATCCATTAAGAAAAGGAGGCAGAGAGAGTGTATGGTATAATAGGATGAAATCAATAACCGCACTCACCTGAACCATGCGCTTGAGGTCATCTTTCTGAATGACCTTGATCTGGGCCGATTCACGCAACCATCGTCGCAGCCAGTGCCCGAACCAGACCAATCCGCATTCGCATTCCAGCGGATTGTGCGAGGTAATGAGGCCGCCCATGATGCTGCGAGTGCCCACGGCATCCCAGTAGCTCTTGTTCGGATAGAAACTATCGGCGGCCAGAGCATTGATGCGATTGTGCGATATGTCGATGGAGAGATGCGGCACCTCGCGCAGCGTGTAAAAAATTCCCGGTGGTAGGTCGGAGATGCGTGTGTGGGATATCTTCACTTGCAGTTGTTGATTGCGGGCGAGGCCCGTGAAGACTTCGGGCGATATGGTCTGGACATTGATGCCGTACAGCTCGACGAGCCGCAGTTTCGTGTTGTTGGCCAATTTGGCGAAGAACTGAGCCCCAATGTTGGGCTCCAGGCAGTGCACTCTCAGCTGCTGGAGTCCTGGAATTCTGGCCACAATCTCGCCCAGATTCGCATGGGAGCTGGCATGGAGTTTCCGAAGCGAGCGCAGCTTAGAGAAGGCCTGTGGATTGGACACCTTCACGTCGAGGATGTTCAGCTCGGCCAGATGCCTCAGGCTGACCAGATCGTGCAGCGTAATGCGTCGCAGAGGATTTTGGGCGAGGTCGAGCACCCTCACCGAGGGCGGTAGATGCTCTACGGCACAACTGGCATTGATGAGTTTATTTTGGGACACATTGACGTGCCTCAGGTGCCGCATCGAGCCCAGCGGCAACAGTTCCTGCAAGTAGTTGCCACTCACGTCCAGGTACGAGAGCAGCGGCAGCTTCAGCGGCGGCAGCACATACAGCCCCATGTGATGCAGGCTTAGCTTTCGAAGGCGCGGCGTGTGAACAAACACCTCGCGCAGATTGGTCGTGACCAGGGGGTTTTGCGATAGATCCAGATTGGTGAGATTGTTCAGGAAGCTGAAGGTGTTGTCCGGCAGGATGGTGATGCGATTCCGGGCCAGACTGATGTCATACAGGAACTGCGAATTTATGAACATCGAGGCATCCAGGTACTCCAGATTGTTGCGTGACATCTGTATGGACCTGAGGGTGAAGCCAATGTCCGTGAAGGCCGGCACGGGCCACACACTCAACTGATTGTCGCCTATATCGAGGAACTCCAGGCGTGTGTTCATGAATACCTCGCGGGGTAGAGCTCTCAGACGGTTGGAGCCGATTTTCAGAATCCGCAGCTTTCTCAGATTGGAGAACTGCTCCACCTGCAGTTGGTCCAGTTGGTTGTGACTCAAGTCTAGGTCCTGCAGGCTGTTCAGACCCTGAAAGCTGCGACGCCTCAGGGAGGTGAGGTTATTGTTGGAGAGATTAAGAATCTCCAGGAATTCGAGGTCACCAAAAGCATGACTCTGCAGCGCGCCCAACGAGTTGTGGGCGAGGTTGAGGAGTCTCAGGGTGTTGGCCAGGTTCATGAAGCTATCCGACTTGGACACGTGATTGTGGCTGATGTCCAGCTGGTAGATGTACATGTAGCTGCTCAGTTCATCGTCGAAGCTGGAGATGTGATTGTGGCTGACATTGAGGCGTAGCGGAGTCGTCGCATTTGACACGTAGTGGAAGGACTTCAGCGACAAGGAACACAGCTGATTGTGCATCAAATCCAGGGCGGCCAGATTCGGCAGGACTGTGAAGGCCGCATGGGATACGTTGACCAGCCGATTGTGGGACAGATCTATGTAGCGTAGGAACTCCAGGTTGTGGAATGCGTGTCGCGCAATCGTCCTCAGACGATTCGACTGCAGATTTAGCGTCTGCAGATCGCCCAGATTGTGGAAGGTCTGCGACTCCAGGTGCTCCAGGCCATTGTAGGACAGGTCTATCTCCACCAGATGGCTGTGTACATCGGGCATAAAGAGACCTCGTTTCAGGACCTTCAGCTGATTGAAGCTCAGATTTATGTAGCTTAGCTCCCGCATTTGCGCAAAGGACTCGTTCGAGATACTCTTCAGATTATTGTTGTCTAGTCCCAGCCAAATCAGCTGCGACAGAGGCAGCAAAGCGTCCAGTGGATCGAAACTCTCCTGACTTCTCGCCGGGAAGACGGCAAACGAGAGCTCCAGTATCTTCAGGGATCTCGAGACATTCTCAAATACCAGTGGATGATGGATGGTGATGTCGTTGAAACTCAAACTAATCTCCTGTATCTGATCCAAACCCGCAAACGATCCCAGGTGCAGATGCGTGATCTTATTGTTCCGCAGGAGTATTGTCTGCAGATTACTGCCCCACGAATCGACGGCAAAGATGCCCTCGGGTATGTCCATGATGGAGTTGTAGCCCATGTTCAGATAGGAGAGCTGTGTGTAGTTTTTCAGCCCCAGAATGGGGATCATGCTGAAGTTGTTGCCACTCAGGCTGAGGACTCGCAAATTGTCGGTGTAGGATGGCAAATTTACTAGCTGATTGATCTCATTGGAAGTCAGATAGAGGTATTTGAGGCGGTGAAGCGATGATATGGCCACGGGCACTGTGGTCAGTCGGTTCCGCTCCAAGTCCAGGTATTCCAGGGTATCAGTCAGGCCCTCGAAGGCAGCCGCATGCACTCGACCAATCGCATTGAAGGCCAGCACCAGGTGGGCAATCCCAGTGGTCTTGAACACCGCCGCCGGCAGCTGCGTCACAAAGTTCTGCTCCAGGTTGAGCGCCCTCAAATGCACATCTGAAAAGTTATGTTGAAAGTAGTCCGACTCGAGGCTCTCAATGCAGTTCTGCCCCAGATCTAGGCGTTCCAAGTGCATGCGTAACGGCCGCACTTGCAGCTCCTTCCACTGCACACTCTTCAGGAGATTATCCCTCAGACTCACGATCCTCAGACCAGGCAATTGCTCAAAGAGCTGCTGGGGGAAGATGGTCAGCAGGTTGCTGGACAAGTCCATCGTCACCAGTGATCGCGGCAGATAGTTGCCCGAGACGTGATAGATTCGATTGTTGGACAGGTCCAGCCACAGCAGCTTCTGCAGCTTCTCAAAAGGTTGACCCAAGGCTGAACGATCTCCGGAGCTGGGAGATGGCTGATACACTGAATTGCCTGCCTCCTGCCTGGTCTGCACCGCAGCCAAGCTCGAGGGATGTGAGCTGCTATCATTAGGGGAGATGAGCTCCAATGATCCGCCGCCATTCGGTGACACCTCGGTGATGTCGTTGTCCGCGAGATGCAGCGAACGAAGTGTGTCTTGCTGGGCCTCCCAATTGCCATCCAAAGTCGTGATGTGATTCCTATGGCAACAAATAATGGGAATTAGAAAGAGTAAAAACATGTTAAGGCCTACACATGACATGGCCCGGAGGACTTCCCAACGATTGCTTTATCTCCTCGACTGTATTCGACTTACCGTTGCGCCACGAGTCGCGTGAGTGAGTGCAATCGCTGAAGTGCCTCCAGGGGTAATTGTTGCATCTTGTTTCCTGAGATATCCAATGTCATCAGCGAATGTGTCATAGTACTAAGGAGAGAAATTGCAAGGAGCAGAACGTGATTAGAAGAAATATTATTATGCGATTACACTACTTGACAAACCGAATTTTTCTAATAGATTTCGCGCATTAAAATTTTTTTATGAATTACGGTTTTTTCTATGGCGTACCTTTTTTTTTGTAAGTATTTTTGAAGTCTGGTTTATTTTCTTAAAGGTTTTTCAAAGGTGGGGGTTTTTTCTTTTTATATCCGGTACTGAAGAGTAAATAGGGTATATTGTATTTGTTGGGAATAACGGTTGTATGTATCGACCCCACAAAGTATATATATTCTTGATTAGCATCAATAGCCGAGTCGATAGAGCCATGTCTGTCCGTCCGTGCGGTTGTCCGTCTTGTTTGTCGGCTAGGTATCAGAGACTATAAAAGCTAGAGCCACCAAATTTTGCATGCAGACTTCTGTATGCTCACACCGTTATAAGTGTATTTCAAAAATAAGCACCGCCCCCGCAAAAGGGGGAAAATCTCCAAAAGCTACAATTCTTAAGATAAAAGAAAACTAAAAACGCCATTTGGCAATGGTAATTACCATATCTATCTGATTACCGAATTGGGATCAGATTGGATCATTATTATAGCCATAATGAAGATATTAATTTGCAGTGGCTACCGCCACCCCGTCCAGCAGCTATTGCTGTTTTTCACATTCTCTCATTCCTACTAGATGACAGATGAAGAAAAAATGTAAAATTTTATAAAAGTAGATGTAGTACTGAGTGCCGGATCTAATCTGATCAATTTTTTTTCGAAGTTTCCTCCACTAGGCTTTTAACGTAAAAATGTCGTAAAAAATACCGCAATAAAATCAACCTTTTTTGATTTTCAAAGCTTAATTTTTCCCAAACGGTAAGCTTAAACCAATAATAAGTGTTTAATTCCACTTATTAGCTCCACCAATCTGCTTTTCAGATGAAGAACGTTCTTTACAGCCAGATCTAAGACACTTAAGTTAGGTGAAAAAACAAACCTCTAGCTACGAACAAATCGTTAAAAAATACCAGATTTTAAATAATCTTAATAAAAACATTCTGCCCCAGAAAAAAAATTATGATTTGACCATTTCTAAGCCCCACATCTTTATAAAAAGTGGGTTTTGGTTCCTTGTGAAAAAATCGTGTCGGATAGTGTTGTAAGTCGAGTGGTAGTGGACAAGGTAGAAAGGTAATATTTATCGAAAATAAATGTAATAGTTGGAAAGCAAAACTTTTCGAAAACTATCCACTGTTTCCGCCGCTGCTGCCTGAAAACATTTCTCGTTCGCATTTCCTACGCACAAGTCGGAAAGCAAATTAGTATTTAATCTTAATTAACGCGTCGCAAAGCCCCTAACCCAAGGGACCCTCTGCCATACACATTCTCTATATAGGCTCCATTAATAGCCATACGCAGTAGAAGCTCATGCGTACATGTGGAGAGTGGAAAAAAGAGACAGTATTTTGTGCGGCTGCAAGCGACGACTTTAATTATGAAAACCACGAGGTTTTCCAAACAAACCGCACAGCCTCCTACTCCTCCTCCTTCTTCGCCTTTTCCATTTCTTTGTTGTAGGTTTCGGGTCGTTGGCGCTGGTACTGGTTGTAGCTGTAGCTAGTATGTAGTTATTGTTGCTATTGTAGTTGGACTTGCGCCCAGATCGAATTAGCCAAATTATTTTTAATTGGAAACTTCGATTTTCTGGTAAATCTGTTTTAGGCGTCGACGATTTTATCTATCGGGTCGAGGCATTGACATCCCAAACGCTGCAGGGCAATTTCGAATTGCTTGCGCGGTATGCCAGCAACCTTTTTGAAGGAACCGCAAGCGAATGGTTTTGGCGGTACCACAAAAGTGTACCTATGGTACAATGGGAGGGCCTTTGCCAAGCTCTTAAAAGTCAATTCAAGGACGAACGAACCGACCTACAGATAAGAGCGAGCATCGATAGACGCAAACAAAAAGATGGAGAAAGTTTTGACGAGTTCTACGAGTCAATCATTTCTCTTGCGGATAAGCTCTCTATTCCCATGTCGGAATCTTCTCTCTTAGAGTCGCTTAGGTCTAATTTGCGCCTGGATATTCAGCATGAACTCCTATATGAGGAAATACTCAGCATATTAAAACTTCGGCATTTTGTCAGAACTCGAGAGATCTTCCTACAAACGGTAGGAAATCACGCTTTACCAAAATCTCGTCCCGTGCCGATGCCGCGCCGATCTGTCAATGCAGTTCAATGTCAGGTAGAGTGTGAAACAGAAACCGAGGTATCGGATGACGAAGAAATGGGAATAGCCGCCCTTAATTTAGTGTGCTGGAATTGTGAAGCAACTGGTCACCGCTACCAGGATTGCGATAGCCCGGTTCGTCGCGTATTTTGCTACGGCTGTGGAAAGGCGGATACATACAAGCCGTCCTGTAAAAAATGTAATAGTTCAAAAAACTGGGTAGCCCGTGCACAGCCGAAAAGTGCACGCAAACAGATGAGCTCGAAAGCAACCAATACCGACTAGATGTTGTTAGTGACACATCAACCACTTCTCCACTTATAATTTCCTTTTTACCAGACGTTCAAAATCAGGATTATATCTCCCCAGAATTCAACCAACCAATCCACAAGGATGAAAACTCAAACAATGTGTCGCGCTCCGTTGCCCGGCGCACTGCATTTCATAAAATGTGCAGACAGGAACGAAAGATATTGTCTTCAACAGTAGTAGCCAACTCCCAGGACATTAGACCTTATGCCGATGTTTTTATTTTAGGCAAAACTGTTAACGGCTTGCTTGACACAGGCGCATCGATAAGCTGTATCGGAGGTCGTTTTGCTCAAGAATTCATTGAATCAAAACACCTATACAAAGCTTTAGGGTCGAATGTTCGCACTGCCGATGGCAAAGCGCAGGAAATAATCGGAAAAATAACCACCGAACTCAAATTTCGTGGGAAATCACATCGGTTGACCTTATACCTTGTTCCCTCCTTGTCACAAGACCTATATTTGGGAATTGATTTCTGGAAAACCTTCGACNGCCCGTGCACAGCCGAAAAGTGCACGCAAACAGATGAGCTCGAAAGCAACCAATACCGACTAGATGTTGTTAGTGACACATCAACCACTTCTCCACTTATAATTTCCTTTTTACCAGACGTTCAAAATCAGGATTATATCTCCCCAGAATTCGACCAACCAATCCACAAGGATGAAAACTCAAACAATGTGTCGCGCTCCGTTGCCCGGCGCACTGCATTTCATAAAATGTGCAGACAGGAACGAAAGATATTGTCTTCAACAGTAGTAGCCAACTCCCAGGACATTAGACCTTATGCCGATGTTTTTATTTTGGCAAAACTGTTAACGGCTTGCTTGACACAGGCGCATCGATAAGCTGTATCGGAGGTCGTTTTGCTCAAGAATTCATTGAATCAAAACACCCATACAAAGCTTTAGGCTCGAATGTTCGCACTGCCGATGGCAAAGCGCAGGAAATAATCGGAAAAATAACCACCGAACTCAAATTTCGTGGGAAATCACATCGGTTGACCTTATACCTTGTTCCCTCCTTGTCACAAGACCTATATTTGGGAATTGATTTCTGGAAAACCTTCGACTTGCTGCCTTCATGTTTTGTATCAGAGCGCCTTTCTGCCTTAGATGTCACTCCCTTGAGGACATTAAGTACTGAACAACATGACTTATTGTTAGAAGCAATCAACTGGTTTCCATCTTTTTCTAAACTTGGTTTAGGGCGAACTTCAGTTCTTTCACACGTAATAGAAGTGGCAGATGCTATACCTGTAAAGCAGAGGCATTATCCAGTCTCCCCAGCCGTGGAAAAACTTATGTACGAGGAGCTGGATAGAATGCTCAATCTAGGCGTGATTGAGGAATCTGTGAGTGCTTGGTCTTCTCCGGTCGTTCTCGTCCGGAAGCCAGGCAAGGTGCGTCTATGTTTGGACAGCAGGCGAGTAAACGCTGTCACAGTCAAAGATGCATACCCCATGCCGTTTATAGAGGGCATTCTCAGCAGACTTCCGAAGGCTTAATACATTACAAGTCTCGACCTCAAAGATGCTTTTTGGCAAATTCCTCTATCTATATCGTCACGTGACAAAACCGCCTTTAGTGTTCCTGGCAGGCCTCTATACCAATATACCGTTATGCCATTTGGTCTTTGCAACGCCCCACAGACAATGTCAAAGTTGATGGATCGAATTATTCCTGCTCACCTACGCAGAGAAGTGTTCATCTATTTGGATGATCTCTTGATAGTGTCAGATTCGTTCGAGAGGCATTTGGCTGTACTGAAAGATGTTGCGGGACAATTAAAACAAGCAGGCTTGACCATCAACATCGAGAAAAGCCATTTCTGCCTAAAAGAGGTCAAATATTTGGGCCATGTTGTCGGAAACGGTACTATCAGTACAGATCCCGATAAGATTGCCGCGATTACAGATTTTCCTATCCCTCGTTCTGTGAAACAGGTTAGACGGTTTCTGGGAATGACGGGGTGGTACCACAAATTTATTTGCAATTATGCATCCATTGCGTCACCCATAACCGATACATTAAAATCGCATCGCAAATTTTGTTGGAATGAAGATGCGCAGAAAGCGTTTGAATCGTTGAAGTTGAAGCTCAGTTCAGCACCAGTCCTTCATAGCCCAAATTTCGAAAAACCTTTTGCGATTCATTGTGATGCAAGCCATACTGGTGTGGGTGCCGTGTTGGTCCAGGTTAACCAGGATGGCGATGAAGTACCCATAGCATTTATGTCTCGCAAGCTGAACCAATGCCAGAGAAACTACTCTGTCACAGAAAAAGAATAATTGGCAGCTATTCTAGGCATTAAGAAGTTTAGAGCTTATGTCGAGGGTCAAGAATTCTCTATAATTACGGACCATGCTTCCCTAAAATGGCTAATGTCACAGTCAGACCTAAGCTCGCGGTTAGCTCGTTGGGCATTAAAACTGCAAGGTTTTGAGTTTAAGATAACACA